AACTTTAATACCAGCATTCAGGCTTTGATGCTGCTTTTCCAAGTAATGAATTCTCAGCAGACGATATCGGATCGGTATTATACAGCATTGTACAGGTAAGTAGGGAGTGTTCCACTGTGCGCATGGGAGTGATAAATGGATCTAGTAGTGCGCGTGTAGTGCCTGGCTGCTGGGCAAGAGAAGGACCCAGAACTGGCTTTAGGCCTTCCTCAGCTGCTTGCTACTTCCCAACTTTGCATGTGTCACATACTACCGCCTACTGTTGTAAAGTTAACATTTGCCACATTTGCCATAAAGTTTGAGACAAGAAAATAAGCCACAAGTGCATTTGCACTGCCTTTCTCATATTATCAGTTCTCTGTTCCCTCTCTGTCCAATAATTCATTCTGTGAGGGGGACGTTTTTCATTTGTTTTCTTTCCGTTGCTGTGGATTGAATTCAAGGCCTTCACACTGAGCAATGTTCCTAGCCCTCTAGTTTTTATTTGGAAACAGGGTCTCAGTAAATTGCCCACGATGGTCCCAACTTGTAATCCTCATGTCTAAGCTGCTCAGAGTGCTAGGAGTCTGTGGGTGTGCCACGGCATTCATCTCCATATTCTCCACATGCTCAGGCTACAGCACAGTGGCGCCCCACTCTGAGAAGCACTTAGAAGAAAGTATGTTAGATACAGATTTCGCTTCCTGTACCACAGTTATCCTACAGCTCTCTCATTGAGGCAAGATACTTTATAACATCATGTAAAACCTTAGGAGCTGTTCAGATATGCCAACAAACTATTTTAGTGAAGAATGCAACTTACTTAATTCTATATACTTTTTTTTTTTTTTTTTTTTTAAGTAATGGGGATTTAACCCAGGGGAGCTTTACCACTGACAAACATCCCAGCACTTCCAGTTTTTTTGGTGTTTTTTTTTTTTACTTCCAGTTTTTTTATTTGAAATGTTATCACTATGTGGCCCAGACTGGCCTTGAATTTTTGACCTTCCTGCCTCACCCTCCTGAGTAGCTGAGATTACACGTGTATCCCACTACTCCTAACTGCATCCACCACTCCTAACTACATAGACACATTTGTGAGGAAAAATATAATGTGGTAGTTAATAATATAGACTCCAGCAACAGTGTCTGGGTTTGAATCCTAGCCATTAGTGTACTGTGTAACTTAGCTAATTGCTTTATTTTCATTAAAACTTTTGACAGTAGATGTAACTAATCCCATCTTATCATATCTTAATTTATTAGAAAATGCAAAGCAAATCACCTATCTTATGGTTACTGTCAAAAAAAAAAGAAAAGAAACACTTCTGCACTTTTGGGGGCCTGCCCATTAGCTCAGTTGTTCAAGTGACTGCTTAAAGCAATCAGGATGTTGTGGTTCGATCCCCAGATCCTCAAGCCTTTACCAAACCTGCCCTGAAGTCATCCTGAGCCGGCAAAAAAAAAAAAAAAACAAAACACTACTCATGATTACTGTCAAGATTATGAAGCATGGGGGGGCCTGCCCCTTAGCTCAGTTCTTAAGTGGCTGCTTCAACAAAGCAGTCAGGCTCAGGTTGCTGTGGTTCGATCCCCACAACTCAAGCCAGCCAAACCTGCCCTGAGGGCATTTGGAGGAAAAAAAAAAAAAAAGATTATGAAGCATGCCCAAAAATCATACAGCTGGTGAAAGACTGAACTGGAACTTTATTGAAGACAGATTAGTTGATCTGTGTGTTTGCTTCTTATTACTGTAACAAATACCTTGAGGTTATCAGCATATGAAGAGGTAAAACTGGTTTTGGCTTAGAGTTGTGGACAGAAGGCCATGATCAGCCTTCTTTTTTTGAGGCAGCACATCATGGCAGCAGTGCATGATACAGCAGAATCTCTCACTTCATAGCCAGGAAGTGAAAGAGCCGGGATTCCATTTCGCCTCACAAGTCCCCGGGACCCCCTACACCCCACCTCTGTCTGGAAGTCCTGCCATCTCCCAGCAGTGCCATACTGGCAACAAGCCCTTACCACGTGTACTTTTAAAGGACGTTTTCTATCCAAACTAGTGTATGTGTAGACCAGGTTAATCTTCATCTGTATGTTACGTGCTTGACTAAAGCATGCTGCCAAAGTGTTGACTCCTATTTTAAATGTAAATATTACATTGTTCTTTAGTCCTGTAAAAGCCTCCCCAGCATCAGTCTGTTTTGACACACCAGTGTAAGAACTGAGGAAAAGTGCCTTCCTAAGTTCTTTTGGTTGCTGTTGCCAGTAGTGCTCACAGTTGGGTTGCTTAAAATGCTTTGTAAGCCATTTTAAAGTACCTATTCTTGGTTTTACTGAGAATCTTTTAGCTAAAATCCCTAATTGAGGAATCAAAGAAATATGGTTTTGTTTCCAAAAATAAAGTGTATTAAGTATTTCAGGAACATATTCTGTAAAAATGGTAGTCCTATCTAAACTCTTCTCAGATGTTTCTGTTTTTGTGGCTAGAATTTATGATGGAAAGTGAGTTGAATGATAGAAATACTGAAAAGTTTATTAAGTGTGAAGAGAAGTTGAATATCAAACGTATCACCAGGATGTTCTGGAATTACCAATTTGGCAATTGGGAAAGATGGGTATGCGAAGCAGTATAAACATTTCCAAGCTTAAGTACTTTGATTTCCAGTGTCAGTGGGAAATGTGTGGAAGTACTTTGAACAAAGGTGGTGATGATGCCATGGTATTCAAGCTAATCTGAAGGATTGGTTAATTCTTAAGTGTCCTATTTTCCTGAATTGCAGACCAATTAAGGCATTCAGCAGTAGGATAGAGTATATTAAAATTATGAGGGCACCTGAAGTGTGGCACTGTGGTTAGAGAGCATGCTAAGCAGCCCTGTCTTCAGTCCCAAACCCCAGCCCCTGCCAAATGCAAAATGAAAACTAGAAGATTACAAACTGAGCTGCAAGACTTGGGGGAAAATACACAGAAGAGCTATATAGGTTCAAGTATTTGGAAAGTATGATAGAAAAGGGTAATTAGATTGTATTGTTGCAAAAAAAAAAAAAAAAATGAAAGAGAAAGAAAGAAATACCAGCAGGTTTAATGGGCTGGGAATATAGCTCAGTAGAAAGCCCTGAGTTCAATCTCGTTTCCACCAAAAAAAAAAAAAAAAAGAATATCAGATTGTATTGTTCCAGACATCAGTAGAATTCATGGTTGAAAATTACACAGGAGTAACAGCTGTAAAGAAGGCCCGGGATTTCTAAGGGCTGGAGGTATGGCTCTAATAGAATAGTTGACCAGCATATGTGAGATCAGAGTTCATCCCAGCATCAAAAAATAAAAGAAAGCATATCTAGCAAAACAGGCTGCCCAAAATTGTAATGGAGTCCTATTGAGTGATCGATACCCACTTACTGTAAAAGTTTTTGTAGTCAACAAATATTGACAGTTTTAAGTTTCTAGCAACAGTGAACAACATAAGACACAATTCTTGATCCATTTTACTGTGAGAACAGCTGGGAAACCCAAGGAAATAAAGTTTGTAAAACAGTGAAGAACATTCATGGGACTAAAAGAATAATAAAGGAAACAGCCAGGCATGGTGGCATATGCCTGTAGTCCCAGCACTCAGGAGGCTGAAGCAGGAGGATCGCCGTGAGTTCTAGGCCAGCCTGGACTCAATAGGGAGTTCAAGGCCCTTCTAAACTACATAGCAAGACCCTCTCTCAAAAAACCTTCAAAAAAGAAGAGCCAGTTTTAGATTTGTGAATATGCAGTTAAGGGAGAGCATTCTGAACAGAACAGCATGTGGGAGAGATGTTGTTACAGAGCCAGTACACTGGATCAGACAGCCTCTGCGATGGCCCTCACTAGAGTCACGTGGAGCCCACCTCTAGTCACTGGCACATAGATGGCGATACGAGGACAAAAACCCACAAGTCTACTGCACTGCTTCACAGGGAAGTTTTCATTATTTGCTTTGGATTAGCTTTTCAGGTGAGGTCTTACATCTGCATAAAAATCATACTGTTAAGCTTTAACCCACTTGATTTATGAAACAGTTGGAAAAACAAAAACCAATGCTTTTTTTCCCTTCTGATGTCATTCTTTCTCTTCAGGTCTAATTTTCATTTTACCTGTTGAACAGAAATGATCTAACATAAGCAGGACATTTATCTGAAAGATGAGATTATGTAAACTGGTTTTGAAATCTGGTTTTCAGATTTCAAGACCTTTCTATAAATAATTTGATCTTTATTTTACAGAAAGATCTTGGATCCAGGGTTGATGACGTGTTCCAAGCAAGCTATGTTTCTTAACCTTGTGTACAAATCTCTGAAAGCTGACATAGTCCTGCGCCGGGTGAAAGCTTTTGTGAAGAGGTTGCTGCAAGTTACTTGTACACAGATGCCCCCGTTCATATGTGGAGCTCTGTATCTTGTGTCTGAGATCCTTAAAGCAAAACCAGATTTAAGAAGTCAACTAGATGATCACATGGTATATTTTTAAACTGGCATTTAAATCAAATGGGTGTTAGTTGGTTTGGGGTTTTCTTTGTTCGGTGATAGCAATGTAGTTCTCTGGAGCATATTACAGTGTGAGCTCTAGAGTCAGATAGACCTGAATTTTCTTTCATGCCAGGTATACGTGTGGACAAGCTACTTGACCCTTCTACAGCTATATTACACTAAAGACTAATTGCATAGTTAGGGAAGATTATACACCCTGTGTCCTCAATTATAAAATAATTGCCTGCCTACTTGGGTTATTTACAATACGTTACCTGTCTATTTGAGGACTGAGTACTTTCAAGTAATACAGTTTCAAAGTCTCAGAAGTTCTTGGCTCAAAACGTAATTCTGGAGCCATGTGTGTGGTAGTGCATGCCATACTCCCAGCACTTTGTGAGGCTGAGGCAGGAGCATCAGAAGTTCAAGTCTTGGGCAGCTTAAAATAAAAATTAAGGACTGGGGACATAGTAAGTCAGATAATTGAATGCAGACTTAATTGCCCCTTTAACATTTTTAGGAGTCTGATGACGAAAAATTTGTTGACATAGATGATGATGATGGCATAGAAAACTTGACCAGTGCAGACAAAGCAACAGAAGTAGATAGAGTGAAAAAAGCTGAGACAGAGGAAACTCTGTCTGACACAGAAACCAAAAGCCCAAAGACAGCTTCCTGGGTACACTTGGATAATTTCAAAGGTAAGGTGTTTTTAGTCTTTTAAATTATTATCTTGCATTTTCAAATGAGGGAAATAGTTTCCTGTTTGGTTTTTACAATTTTTTGCCAGCAATTCTAGAAATCAGACCCAGGGCTCTGAACATGCTAAGTGCTTCAACACTGAGGTATATCTCCAGCCAGAGAAAGAAATGTTTATAACAGCAAGTCACCATTACCTTCATTTCAAAAGATTAGGTGTTTTTTAATAAAGCTTAGAAGTTAAAACAAATACTTTTAGAGCTGTGAAAAAACTCATATCACGGTAAACCTCATTTCTTCGATTACAAGTTTATACCTTTGACACAGTTAGTTCCCTGGCGTTTATCTGTGCATGTAAAGGCTTCAAGCATACAACACATAAACACAGGGTCTTACACAACTCTCATTTCTGAACAGAAGACTTTGGTCAAATATTGTGAATTGTATGAACCTTTTGGTTCTTTTGTTTAACAACCACATTCACATTTTATAGTTTCATAAAGCAATTTTTAAGCAAAAGTGTTTAATGAGATAGAACCCTGTGTGGATTTTTTTTTTTTCCATCACACAAATGTGTGAATTAGCTCTAAATAGAATATTAGAAAAGCAAGCTTAGAAATGCAGCCTCTTCATTTGAGCCTTTGAGGGAAAAGCACAAGCTTGGAGGATCATGAAATGTACTGGAACCAGGGCCAGCCAGATGGCTCAGCGGACTAAAGTACCTGCTTCGGCAAAGTGCAGTGGCCAGGGTTAGATCCCTGGCATGCCATGCCAGCCCTGCCCCCAGTCAGCGCTGAGACAGTGATTGGGACTGGGCGTGGTGGTGCGAGCCTGTAATCCCAGCCCTTGGGAGGCTGAAAACAGGAGAATCACTATGAGTCTGATCTACATATTGGGACCCTCTACACCCTGTAGACCCTGCCCTAAGTTCATAAAAAAGAAATGTACTGGAGCCATTTCTTCAGCCCTGATGTTGAACTCAAGGTCAGGTGAATTCGTGTCTAAATGTAAATTTGTCAGTGAAGTACACAAGAAGCCTGGTAGCAGCCAGCAAGGTTTTAGTAAGAATTTATCAGTTTTCCTGGTAAGTAAACTGAGACTAATCCTTTAAAAAGATGACAGGTGTATACACTGAGACAGTCATAGAATGTTCTGAAAAGCTTGTTTTAAATTTGTTTTATTTCTGAGTTTCTAAAATATATCTCTTTATGTAAATTCTTACTTGGAAGATCTAAGTAAGAATTATTTTTGGGTGTTCTTTAGTGACAAACACTTGGTGCACTCTGATCTGAAGTCTAGACTTAACACATAACTTCTTCGGCACTTTTTTGCTATTTGAAAAGTGTTGAATTGGTTTTTTAGTGCAATAAACATATTGCCTGGTTTGTTCAAGTATCACGTGCCTCACCAGCCCTGCCCCTGGGCACGCTGAGCTGGCCACCAGGGCTGGCATGGTGGTACATGCCAGTAATCCCAGCACTGGAGAGGATCAGTTTGAGTTCAAGCTGCGTAGAGAGACCCTGTACCAAATACATAATATATATCCGCTAAGATACTCAGTGTAATTCTTGAAGTGGCTTGTAGTTTCTCATCTAAGATGCCTGGGTAAGAAATTAAGAATCATGTCTGGGAGAACATTTAATGATGTATAGTTTTAGTGCTCTTTGGCTAGGAATAAAGCATACGAAAAATGTTACTTGTTTTTTTATTCTTAGGTGTCAAAAAGTTAAATGCTTACGATCCATTCAGTAGAAATCCTCTGTTCTGTGGAGCTGAAAATACAAGTCTTTGGGAACTCAAAAAGGTAAAATAATCTCAAAATCTCTTAATTCATTTGTGCTATATATTCTTTTATTTATTTGGGAATTTATTTTATTTTATTTTATTTTATTTTATTTATTTATTTAGGCAGAACCAGGCATTGAACTCAGGCCCTTGTACTTGCCAGGGAAGCACTTATTTCACTGAGCCATGTCTCCAGCCCCTGTGCTATATATTCTTGTCCTTATAGATTTAGCACCTTGAAGTGTTCGTTTTTCCTGTACATGATATATACAGAGTCACTATAAACATTACATTTCTTTGTTAAAGAGAGGGGACTCTAAGGTGTTCACCTTGTAGAAAATTTTAACTAATAAGCATGTAAAATAAGGATGTTGTACCTGTCTTATAAATTATAAGTATTGCTTTCTGTAGGCAAATTATTGCATTTAATAGCTCTGTAAAATTGGTGAGCCTTGCTTTTTGTACATTAGGTATCTGCAGCTTTGTGATGGTAGAATTTTTACCCAAAAAAGTTACTGTTGTAGGGGTAAGGGCTGGGGAGACAGCTCAGTGGCATGAGCGCCTGCCTTGCAAGCACAAGGTCTCAAGTTTGATCCTGTTTGGCAAAAATAAACCGCAGGAGTCGGTCTTGCAAGGTCACAGCTGCTTTTACAGTAATCCAAAAATGTTGTCTTTGTCATGGTGTTGACAGTAGCACTGAAGGTATCAAAGAACCGAACAGTAAAACTCCTCCTGCCCAACCCAAAGTCAGTGACACCAAGCTGCACTAATAGCCATTATGTTCTTCACTGCCACATACTTGCAGAGGAAAAAGAAAGCCAGTGTTAATTCTGAATGATAAAGCAGGAAATTACTGATTTTATTTTCTTGAGCTTAATGCACACAGCTTTTCAGTAGTCCATGTGCTAATATACGTAATCTGTATACCTAAGGATGAAGGTTGTCTCTTGTCTGAGGGATACTGCTTGTCTCTCTGTTCCTAACTCATCTAACACCTTTCCCAGGAAAGAATAGCTTAAGAGACAGGCAGATTGCTTAAACTGGGTAGCTCGAGACAGTTGCTTATAAATGAATGAATTGGTCCTGTTGCTTCAAGCAAATACTAAAACTTTACAAATGTAACACCTGCGTTGAGCCTCAGCAGACCCGTGTGTAGAAACTTGGTGTGCTCTACCACAGAGCTACATCCCCATCCCTTCTTTGTTTTTATTTTGAGACAAGCTCTCACTAAGTTGCCCGGGCAGGCTTTTAATTTGTATTCTTCCTGCCTGGACCTTCCACGTAGTTGAGATTAATATGCAAAAGCTGTTTTCTGATGAAATCAGTGGCAATACTGTGTGTTCTTTATAAAATAAATGGTGCACATTAGGAGGAACTACATAACTCAGTATCAAAAGCAACTAATATAGTTTTACACATTCGTATGTAGATAAAAGGTACATTCAGAGTAAGCCAGTTAATTTAAATACAAATACCAAAAGCCATTTGAGCACATTTCCAGATTCAGTATTATAACGTTCAGTTTTGGTGTAGCATAAAGAAAATCCAAACGTGGGTGAGAGACTTAGCTAAATCCTCCTGTTCTCCAACAACATACCTGTGAGGCCAGATTTTCTTCACATGTTTGAACTAAATAACATGCGATACAGAAGGTATAGAAAGAAACTATCTTTTGTTAAGCCAGAAGTTAGAAGTGATTTGCAAAATTGTAGATTGTCATTCTTCTTGTAGTAGCCATTTATTTTCCATAAATATATACAGCACATTTATTATTTTAAGTGAACTATATTAAATTCTTCAATTGTAATTTCTAATAAGTATCAGTCAATATAACCCAGTTAAAAAACACTTGTAATTCTTCATTTGTAAGTGTAAAATGATCTTGAGACTGTAATGTTTGGAGTCACATTTCTGATGTATTGGCTTAGGTTTTAATTTCTTTGGACTTTTTAAAATAAGCTCTATGTCAAAAAGTTGATCTTAGAAATTCTGACATTATTTATACTTCTCTTTTCAGTTATCTGAGCATTTTCATCCCTCTGTAGCCCTTTTTGCAAAGACTATCCTTCAGGTGAGTCTAAAATACTCAAAATAGGTAACAAAAGGTGAGTAGTATAGTTTTTGATAATAAAAACAGGTCATACATTGTTGTAACCACTGCATAGAGTCATATAGATTTTACTGCCTTTGTAAAGGAGCAATGATTTCTTTAATACAGAGTAACAAATAATTCTTCCCACTCTCCACGATGAATAGAAATACGCCAGAGTAGTTATTTACTAATTCTGCATCTTTGGGAGAAAGGAGTCCCCTCCCCTTACCATTTGTAATGAAGGATATTTAAAAAGTTATTATTTGTGTCTTCGATGCAGTACAGCATAGAAGCTATGTTTTTCCCTTTTTCCCCTTGTATAGATCCATTCATCTACCTATTCTTTAAGTTTTTATATCCCCACTCCCACTTTTCAGGGAAATTATATTCAGTATTCGGGGGACCCACTGCAGGATTTCACTCTAATGAGATTTTTGGATCGGTTTGTATACCGAAATCCAAAGCCACATAAAGGCAAAGGTATGTTTCCATTTCATGAAATCATTTTCACTCTTCCTATTTAGTAAATAATTTGAGCATATCGCTAGATTTTAGACTGTCATCGTTTTACATTTCAGAAAATACAGACAGTGTTGTGATGCAGCCAAAACGGAAACATTTCATAAAGGACATTCGTAGTCTTCCTGGTAAGTGTAACACCCAGACAGAGACAGCACAAAACTGTAAGAACTTCAATATAAAGTGGATTGCTGTAATCCAATAAAATGCATGATTTATTTTGCAGTGAACAGCAAGGAGTTCCTTGCAAAAGAAGAAAGCCAAATACCAGTGGATGAGGTGTTTTTCCATAGGTAACGTTCGTAATAGTTTCATTTGGGAGAACTGTTTAAATTCTTAAAATCTGTCAGTGCTTCGTTAACATTGGCGTACTTTTTAAAAATCAGAGGATATGTCCATATCTTTTTTTGTGGAGGAAGTTTAAGTTACTACTGTTGCTGATCTTTAGGTATCTCAGTGAAACTAAAGACAGTTTGGGGATTTTAATAATTTAGCATGTAAATTTTGGTTTATGAGCCTAATTTTGAGAAGTTTAGTCTGCTTAATGTTTTAATACAGTAATTTTTATAGGCATAAAGCTTGTATTAGTTTAATAGACTGATAACAGTTAATAGACTGATAACTTAAGTAATTTGTCCAGATTGTGACTTTACAGCAGAATTAAGAAAATTCATTGTGCTACTATCGAAAGAAATTCTAATCTGCTAGTATTATTGTTAATGCCTATAATCTTAACAGATTTGGTAATCTCACATTGGTTCTAGGTGTAATTGGGTGTGCACTCTAAAAATATTCAGTGCGAATAATTTTGAGGGTATTATGCCATCAGGAAAAATGCTACTAAGTTTTATTGTGTCCTAGTGTAAGAATAGGGCTGATAAATTATACTGATCTGAAGTCATTTAGAACCACAGTATTCTTAAATCTCTAGTGTTAAACCTGGAATTCCCCTTTACTGTGCTTCTGGCTTGGTGTTACCATATCAGACCAAGGAGCACCTCATGCATGGTAGGCAAGGGCTGCGCCACACTCCACTTCCTTCTCATCTTGACACACAGGGTCTCACTAAATTGCCCAGGTTGGGCTCAAACTTGTGCCCCTCCTACTTTACCATCTGATAATGCTGGGATTGAAGTGTGAACCACTAACCTAGTTTATAACAGGCTTTTATAATTGATTTGTCACTCTGATAGGTGTTTTGATTATTTGATTATAAGATTGGACCTTTAATGTGGTTAAATATATAACATTCATTTTAGGTATTATAAAAAAGTTGCTGTTGTAAAAGAGAAACAAAAGCGAAATGCAGATGAAGAAAGTATAGAAGATGTGGATGATGAGGAATTTGAAAAGATGATCGGTAATTTTGTTGACTCAATTTATAAAGTAATGTATTGTTAGAAGTGAGTTTAGTTTTTTAAAATCATCCTGTGAATATTATGAAAATCATAAGAAGGCTTAAAATATTGGACAACTCATCAAAATTCACTTTTTAAAAAATGGTTGTGCTTTGAATAGTGTATGTTGTAAAACTTTTATTTTCATGAGTATATGAACTCTTAAGGTGAAATCTTGTATAAAATATTACTCTTAAAAAAAAAAAAGACAGACTGCATAGTTCTCACTGGCCTGAGGCTCACAGTAATCCTTCTGCCTCCACCTCCCACGTGGTAGGATGTAAGAATGAGCCACAACACGCTGCTTATAATCTTATATTATTAGTAGCAATACTCTTGATTTTTTATCCACAAAACATGAGAAATTTTAATTGAAACTATAACAGACTGAAAGAAAATACATGGGAAAGGGCCGGGGAGATTGCTCAGTAGAATAAGCAAGTACCTGCCTGGCAAGCACACAGTCCTGAGTTCAATCCCCGTTACCTCAAAAAAAACAAATACATGGGAAAGTGGAAATGCTTAACACTGATTTCATTTTTGTTACATATTATACCTACTAGTAAGCGCTTAAATACTGTAGTTCTACAGTAAAGAGAAGTATAATTAGTAGGTTTGTAGGGGGTTTTTTCTTTTTTTTTTTTTTTTTTTGTGAGATAAGGCCTCTGTAATTCAGGCTAGTTTTAAACTCAATATGTAGCCCAGGCTAGCCTCAAACTCATGGCAGTCCTCCTGCCTCAAGGCTCCCCAGCACTGGGATTACAGGCATGTGCCTCCATGCCCAGTTATAACTACCAAATGTTTTTCTTTTCCCCTTGAAACAACTGGAACGATTTTGGGATTAGCTGGAAGTAACTTTATTTATTTATTTATTTATTTATTTATTAATGTATTTGGTACACAGTGTACAGGGCCTCACTACATAGATCAGATTCAATTGTAGTGATCCTCATTTTTTTCAGCCTCCCAAGCACTGGGATTACAGACACATGCCTCCATGTCCAATCCAGTTGCCATCTCAGTGCACCCTGGGAGCAGGGCTGGGATGGCACGCTGGGGATCGAACCCCAGCTGCTGCACTCTGCCTAAGCAGGTGCTGTAGTCCACTGAGCTATCAGGCTGGCCCTTGAAATAACTTTAGAGGTTTAATTAAAATTAGGTATTTCACAGGCTTAGACACCAGCTATAGTCACGTTTGTATCACTTTGATCCTTGCTGTGTACACAGAATTGTGACTTTCTATAGTCAGGTCAGCTGCAGTACACAGTGGCCTTGTTTTCGGCTGTATCTCACACTCTGAATTCCTTGGCAGACACATTTGAAGATGATAACTGTTACACTCCTGCAAACGATGACCTTGATTTTGTAAGGTAATATACTTTTCTTTAACCTCTTTACTGTTTTCCCAGCATTTCTGAAATTGTTATCCCTTATGACAGTGTACCTTAAAACTGATGGATTCATCCAAGTCTAGGTAGTGTGAGTATAATAGTTCTATTTTGAGTTTTATAATGTATATCACTATAGTTTTGAGCTGTCTATAATTCTCCTGTTAAGTCATTTAATGGTTTCGTATTCTGTTAATCATCAAAATATGTTGTAGATAAAACATTTTGATCATTTGGAAGGTTTTTTTGTTTGTTTGCATTTTGATTTTATTTTGGTATTAGGAATTGAACTCAGGACCTTGCACTTGCCAGGCAGGTGCTTGTGCCATTGTGCTATATATCAGCAGCCCAAAATATGTTGTAGAAAATGTACCCTTTTTTATAAGTTTTGGGTTTTTTCCAGCAATATGAAAAAGAAAACAAAAAGAAATAAGGATAACTTGGAAGATGAAGATTCAGAGGGTAGTGACGATGAATTTGGTAACTTAGATGATGAAGAAGTTTCTTTAGGAAGTATGAATGAAGAATTTGATGAAATTGATGAAGATGGAGGAACATTCATGGATGTAGCTGATGATGAAAGTGAGGGCCTTCCAGGTAAGCAGTGTTGGTCTTCTGCGATTGGGTTTCACTATGCAGTTTAGGTTGGGCCTGAACTTATTTTGTAGCCCAGGCTGGCCTCAAACTCAAGGGAATTCTCCTGCCTCGGCCTCATATGTGCTGGAATTACACATGTGTGCCCCCACACCCAGCATAATAAAGGTTTTTAATATGGCCCTGTATTCATATTAATATTCAAAACATCAAAGAGCCCTTTTGTTTTTCATTTGGAACTTCAACGTTTTATAAAAGGTTTTTTCTTTTTTAAAACCAGCTCAGTTTTGAGTGACTTTGATTTTATTGAACATTTAGCCTCTCTATAGTATCTGTTGATTAGTTATTAGTCAACACACTATTTGATGTTAAATAGTAGTTAGCAAGGGGCTGGGGTGTACCTCAGAGTTAGGGCTCTAGAGGAGCACATGCAAGGCCCTCAGGTCAGTCTCCAGCAACACACACATCAATAAATATTTTATAAAAGCTAATCGTTATTCACCACTTCCACAGCATAAAAAATAAAGACAGCCCTATACCGTAAAGATAAACAATTTATCTTACTGTACTAAATTTGCAGAGAGCACCCAAAATTGTATCTTTGGGCTGTTGTGTAACAGCCAGTACACACAGACCTGCCCAGAAGCCTGCTGCTCACCCTGGACCACAGGAGGGGAGTTTGCATTATGTGGTCCCATTCGTAAAGGCATTTAGGAAACTGCTTGCACAAAATACAGAAAGCCTGTACTAGTGGAATTATAATATCAGGAAAGCCACATGGACTAGCATATAGCATGTTGCTATTTAGATTTTAGCATACTTTGAAGTAGTATTTTCTAGTTTTGCTCTTATTTCGTTACCATTTTTTTCTTGGGTAATAGAACTTGATGAAGTCAACTTCAAAGACAATACTAAGAAAAATAAAAAAAGAGGTGCGGGTGATTTTGACTTCGCTGGCTCATTTCAAGGTAGGAAAATACATGCACTCTTTCTTAAACCGAAGCTGTGTCCATGTGAAAGCAAGAAATAAGCTTCTCTCAATTGATTGGTATGACTTAGGTGGGGTTTTTTTCCTTGAAGAAAGATGTTTTCATAATATTTTGCACAAATACATATGTTAATTTTTCATTGATTTGTTGGATATACAGGATCTCATACAGCTCAGACTCATAGTGATCCTCCTGTCTCAGCCTCCCTAATGCTGGGATTACAGGAGTGTGTCACCACACCCAGTTTCTGTGGCCAGCATGGCACACCTTGGGACCCTGGACTGGCATGGCATGCGGTACCAGGGATCAAACTCAGATCCTAGTGATTGCCAGGCAGGTGCTTAGACTGCTAAGCAATCTCCCCAGCCCCTGCACAAATATATTTAACAATTTTTCTCTTCCTGTGTTCCTTCTCACATCTTGATCTTCATCCATTTTAGAGCATTCAAATTTCTGTAAACCTTGAATTTTGAATATTCCTGTCACCTTTTTCTCGACCAGTGATTTGCCATCTTACAAAAATCTGTTTATTAATATTTTGATATCTACCATGATAAAACAATGCTAATCTCAAAATACATGAATTTTTTGTTGTTATGTGTTTGGTACAGGATCTACAGGGTCTCGCTGTGTAGATCAGACTCATAGTGATTCTCGTTTTTATCCTCCGAAGTGCTGGAATTATTTCTGCTAATTTGTTCTTTTTTTTTTTTTTTTTTTTTTTTTTGGCAGCTGGCTCGGACCAGCCTGGGGGTGGGGCTGGGGTAGCATGTGGTGCCCAGGATTGAACCACAGTCCCTGTGCTTGCCTAAGCAGGTGCTTTAGACTGCTGAGCTATCTCATTGGCCCCCTAACTTTCTATATAGTAATATGCTTTACAGTGTAACACCTGTAAAGTGTTCATGGAAGAAAAAAAGTATTGTATCAGGTGGTAGTCTTAAGTTTTTAATAAAAATGGAGGAAGCACTGCATGATTGACTTCTAATGTCTTTCTGGCTTCTGCTTGCCGGTAAATATTGATGAATACAAATAGACTTTCAAAGTTAAATAAAAATAATTTTTAAATATTTTAGTTACATATTAGTACTTGCACCTACAAAATTTGCCAGGGTCTTTAAAATACAACTAGCCTCTTCTGGAGAGTTAACAGCCTAAGTTTGCAGACCAAAAATTAGAGAAAAAGGAGGGCCGCAAGGAAAACCAACATTTTGGCCCTAGCCTTCCAAGGTCAATTAAGACTCAGGACATAGGAGAACTTGCACTGTAATGACATGTAACTCAGTTGTGTCCCAGATTTTCTGATCAAGGAGATTATGGGGCCAAAGAGGAAAGTGATTGATGATGTAGAGTGTGCCTGAGGAGAGTCACATGGAGAGAAAACATTCTTGCAGGCTTTCACAGAGAGCACATTGGCCAAGCAATGGCCGTGACTCATCCACATGGCTGACACTGACAAAGGATCTACAAAGTGTGGTACAGGGTTTCAGGATAAATCCTGAGGGGACTTGACTGACCTTATCAGATACAAAAGTTATATTTCGTGTTATATAGGTCTTGCTTTATCTTGGTCTTAACCATCCAGCAGAAAAGTATAAAAACAAAGAATAAGAAATAAAGCCATGGTGTTATGTTGAGCTGTAGGGGACTCAGGTCAACAACTTCTGACATTGCCAGTCAAGCGGAAGACCCAATACTGTTATGGACTACTGGACTATTTTGGAATATTTTGCTGAGTTCACACACCTATAATATTTAAATGATGGAACTAAAGAAAAGGGGATATAGATGAATGACCATATTGTATCTGTGTATTCAAAATGGTTAAGATAGATATATAGTTACATTCTCTTAATGAATAGAGGGATTTGTTCTGTGTTTGTAAATAGGATATCGTGTCTGTATCTTGTACAGCAAATAACCACTAGGAAGAGAGTATGCAATGTATTAATTATCGAAACTGCCCTACCAATTTGATTTGAAACTGTCTCATTGCTATTTATTTCTCAATAAAATTATGGAGAAAAAATTCTAATTATATGAATATAAGTGTCTTGATTTTGGCACAGAGTGAACTATTATATGGCTGACCTATAAATTCTTTCTTCTTCATTTTTATTGTAGACAGTTTTTTGTTATATTCATTTAAGTACAATCTGTTAATCTCATGCTATGTATTCATTTGAGAAATATTTTTCTGAAATTCACTGTCTACATCTCATGTCTTTCACATTTCAATATTTGTCTACAGTTTTAATATGCTCTATAATTACTGATTTTCAATAAAGTTAATGAGAAAAAAATAAACTATAAAAACAATAAATAAAATACAGCTAGCACTATCTTTTAATAGCAAGGTGATTTAACTGGTACATATTTTAAATTATAACGTGCTGGTTTTTTCCAGATCTTACCTTCTCTTAAAAGTCATATAAGACTGTTTAATAGCATATCTCAAATGCAAGGCAGTTTTTTCAAAATAATCCCTCAAAATAGAAATGTTGCTCTGGTACAAGTCCTCCCTGTGTAGCCTTGTTGTGAATAATAAATGCCATTATAAATCTTCAGGCATAGAAGATTTCCACTATCAATTGATAAGATTTGGGCCATGAGTTAAAGGATACTTGCAAGAACTGAAAAGGGGCTATACAGACAGTTTTATGCAGATTTAGTAATTGATCCTTTGAGTATTACTGTACATCTACAGATCCAGGCGTGTTGGTGCCCGCCTGTAATTCCAGTACTTGGGAGGCTAAAAACAGGAGAATCACCTCAAGTCTGATCTGTGCAGTGAGACCCTATAGATCCTGTACTAACTACATTTTTTAAAAAAACATAAAATAAAATTGAACGATACATATATTTTTTAGGTCCAAGAAAGAAAAAGAAACAAGACCTCGGTGACTCCAGCCTGTTTGTGTCTGCTGAAGAGGTAAGGGTGACATACTGCTTTAAGGTGGCTATTCGGTATTATTTTAAGTTTCCTAATAAATATATCCTTTTTGTTTTTAAGTTCGGCCATCTGTTGGATGAAAATATGGGATCCAAATTTGATAGCATTGGCATGAATGCCATGGCTAACAGGGATGATGCAAGTAAGTCTCTCGGATTCTCAGGCCGAGCTTGCACGGCAGCCTTGGCCTGGAGGCGCACTCCAGGGGCAGAGTTGGCCTCGCGCACAGTGAGGCCCTGGATTTGGGGGGGGGTGGGGGATAAGATAGCTTTTACTGAAAGTTGGAAAATGGATATGGGGGGGACTTTTTAGGGTTCCCTGTCTTTCCTCTAGGTAACAGAAGGCTGATATATATTTAGACCACTACAAAAAATGCTACATACTACAAAAATTAGATTTTACATGGCAGTGAATGCTTTTTTTATAATATAAGCTTGCTAAAGGTAATTTCTGGGCTTATTTTTAATTCTGATATTAATAGTTTTCTATGCTTTCACAAGTAAAAGATACTTGAAAAAGAAAATCTTTATAGAGCATTTGTTTTCCTTGAGCGTTTTATTTGTAAAACATTAGTTTTCCCACAGTAAAAGTAGAGAGCAACAAACGTGGATGGTCTGCCTTGTGGGCGGAAGTCGCAGGCCGTGGGTGGCCTGAAGCTCGTGCTCCCCGGCAGGATGTCCTGTGGGACCTCAGCACCCACATGTGACGTGTTCCTCTTACAGGTCTCAAGCAGCTCAGGTGGGAGGCCGAGCGGGATGACTGGCTACACAACAGAGATGTGAGAAGTATCATCAAGAGAAAGAAAAATTTCAAAAAGAAAAGGCTAAAAAACACTCAAAAAGCTAAAAAACAAAGGAAACGAGAGTTATTAAAGTAAAATAGAACATTTTACTTACTCCTAATTTTTGCTATTGAACCATTTTTCATGATCTTGCTCTCTGGTTCCGTAAATTCCAGACTGTTCAATGGATTTGTAATAAACTATAAATAAAAATAGCTGTCATTTATAAAACCATGTAAAAAATGTTAACATTGAGAGATACCACTTTTATATGTTACTACATAATAAAAAACTATATAGAATTACATATTTTGTGTACAGGCTCTTATCTATTTGACTGTTATAATGCAAAAATGTTACTTTATAGCAAGTACTGTACTTTGAAGTACATAATCTCTTGTTTAATCCTAACAATCCCATGAAGTAGGTGTTAATTCTAAACAGAGAAACAGCTCTGAGAAGTTAGCAAACATGAGCTGAGACCAGTCTTAAAACTAAAGATTCAGCATGTGATTTGCTTCCGGCACCTTCGGTACTCCTCATTCTGAAGCCTGCATTCCTAACCCTTGAAGAATTAAGCAGCAGCCAACCACTCTACTGCTCACAGCTTGGTAACTATAGTATAGGTGGCAATCCTCCTGATGGTCTCAGAAGGAACTTCAACAGGAGGGACTAATTAGTACTGTTGGAAATTGACAAATCACAATATAAAGTTACTTCACTCTTTTCTTTTTTTCATTTATGTATTTGGTACAGGGTCTCAACTACGCAGCTTGGACTCATAGTGATCCTCCTGTTTTCAGCCTCCCCAGTGCTAGGATTACAGGTGTGCATATCCGGTCGGTCGCGGTGGCTGCTCATTTTGCTCAGGGGCAGGGCCGGTATGTGCTACCAGGGATGAACCCTGGTCCCTATGCTTGCCTAAGCCAGCGCTTAGTGCACTGAGCTATCTTGCCAACCCTTACTTCACCTTTTTAATTTGAAAAATTAGTTTATAGCTGAAAAAACTACTTTTTAAGGGGAAACATACCTTCTAAGATGAAAGGAAATTTCTTACTCATTGTTTGCCTAAAATCTGATGAAAAAGAAGCCTTAAATTAGATATCAGAAATCCACTATATCAAAACAGCCATGATTTATTGCTTTAGGATCTATATGATGGGAATCAGGTCCCTGGTAATTGACACTTAAAAGCAGATTTCTAGTTTAAATATATAATTGTTACGGGTTTTTGTAATGAATGTCATTTTACATTGACAAATCAGAAATAAGATCATCTGTAGCATTTGAGTTTGATCTCAAGCTGCAATTTCCTTTTTGCTGTGTAGTGTAGGCTGGCCTTGCACTCACTGCAATCTTCTGCTTCAACCTCCCAAAAGCTGGAATTACAGGCATGCGCCACCATACCCAGATGTAATTTCCTTTTAAATAGTTTGGGATGCTTAAAATTATAAACTGAATTACAATAGCAACCTGGCCCAGTATTCCAGGAAACTACTGTGAGAAAGACGGGACAAGCTTCAAAGACAGTCACAGGATGTGTTTTTGGAAAATAAAAATCAGTACTTAATAATTTTAAAAATTGAGGGCCCCAATACAAAATGTTGAAGCACTTTTTGTGGTGTGGGAAAGGCCTTCAGGACCCACTGTTGACTTGGAAAGAGTCAACAGTGTCAACATAGCTCAAGAAGATGCTATCATCAACAGTGACATCCCTCCTTTCTCAGGCTGCCAAACAACTGTAGTGGGCAGGCCCTTTCCTTTACCTGTCTGCCTCCCAAACTACGCCAGACAGGACTTCCCTTCCAATTAGTGAAGTGCACGGAAGTGAAACATGTTTATAAGGGAGATGACAGCGAATCCCTACTTGTCCTTCTGCCTATAAAAACACCTAATACACTGAACCCATACAAGGGCTTTCGCCACAAATTCCACTAGCATTTACATCCAAAAGGTATTAGCAAGCTATACTTCTCTAGAAAGCATTAACTTCCTAATTGTGATTACCTTGGCTTGTGTTCATCTTATTAAACAAAAAATATGCTCCAAAAACACCCATAAGTTCAGCTACTAAAACTCCTTTAAAGATCTTCTTCGCCAGTGGTTCCATAGTGCGCGCCATCCTAAATTTAACAATAAACAATTATGTATGAATTTGAATAAGCATGTTTAGTCACACCTACAGTCCGAAGAATTTATATAGGAATAAGATCCCAAAGCTGCTATACATTTGTTTTAGGCTATCCTATATGGTTAGTTTTCAATTTTCATATGTAAGGGACACAACAAGCCAAGGAGAGAAGAGATAAACTAGTTGTTTTGTGTTCCTGAAGAGTTATTTTGTCTTTAATTGCATTACTTTAGAGATCTGTTTGTGTATTCCTGCCAGGTGTGGTGGCTCATGCCTACCATCCCAGCACACAGGCTGACGCAGGAGGATTGCCCTGAGTTTGAAGCCAGGTACCTAGTCTGAGGCAAGCCTGCACTACAAAGTGAGGTCCTATCTGTAAAAGAAAATACGTGTATCCTTGAACCTCAGCCTGCAGTTTTTTACTCCCCAGTCTCCACATTATGATGCAGCAAAGCTAGGTTTGGCATCCCAAAAAGCTGCCCTTTATTTAGAAGCACCCCAAATAACTGATACAAAAGGCCTATAGGCTACCTGAGGAAAACCAATTGGGTTCTAACCCAGTAAGTGAAAAACCGCAAGCAATTTAGATCTTAATTCACTTTCTATAACTAAAAGCTAATCAAGAAAGGATGTTTATTGGGCTAGGATGTAGCTCAGTGGCAGGTGTGCTCAGCATGTGCCAGGCCCTGGGTTCAATACCCACCAAAAAATGTCACAGTGGGTCCCTTATTTTCTAAAGCTGGGCAAGAATAACAACTATATCACAAGAAATCAGAATAGGTCTCTTTCTGAATGACAGTTTACAGCCCAAGTACAAACTGCTAAATCATCACGGCCCTGATCCACCACAGCTGAATCCACAAAATAACAGCTGGTCTCCCCAGTGACCACTTCCTCCTCCTTCCCCACTCCAGGCCCGGATACAACTTCCTTCTACCTGTCTGCACACACAAGGGAGCCTCCCATCAGCGCCTACTACGTCCCTGAGCCTTCCCATCAAACTCCGCTCCCAGCAAAAGTCCTTGAAGTCTCATCCTCCCCCTCTCAGGTCAGAGGATCTGCCCATCTCCCTGCCCTCGATCCTCTCCGCGTGTTCAGAGTTAATAAAAGGCTCCCCCTTGCCAATGTCTGCTTCTCTGCTGTGCCGCCACCATCGCTGCTGCCGCTAAAACATATCACTGAATATACGAAATATAAACCCATACTTTTATTGCTCTGCCTTCACATAGCCTGACATTAAAAACAGAATAACCGTAGCTTGACTTCGGGTTTTACTGTTCTTCATGTGTGCTCTGTTCAGGCAGTGTACTCTGGCCCCGCTGTCTGCTCATAGGCAGGCAGATGCTCCACTTGCTAAGATACTCTTGCCCCAAAATTGCCTTCCATTTCGATGTTATCGCAGACTCCTCCTAACTCGCCCAAATGTTATACTATTATTCTTACTTAAGAGAAATAATGCGATCAACGAAAGTTAAGAAGAACTTAGACACAACCAAGAGGCGGGGAGTAGATGTGGACCGCTGTTCTCCAGGGCTGCACATTACTGACAAAGCAAGAGACTTCTCTTCTCAGTACAGACTTCTTAGGTTACTTTTGATGTTCCAGGAGCCGGAAAACACACACGCGTAAACAAAACCTGCCTGTGGCCAGTTCCCCATCTTAAGGAATATGTCAAGATTTTGTTAGGGGAAGGTGATGCTAACTCCTCAAAAAAATAAACTCAACACCGTGTAATAATAAGGCATGGACCTTCCTTAAGCGATGCACAGGTCCCATTCCACTCCCTCACTTTCGGGAGTGTTCCAACCCATTAGAAAGCCCATTTGCCGTAGACCACCAGGCAACACCGTGCGGGCTGGCGCGCGGGGGCATCCAGAGGCCCTTTCGATGTGGCACAGCCTGGACTTCAGAGGGTCCAGGCTGAAAATGATGCCCGCTCGCCGAGCGCAAGCTCCGGGCCTGCGCTGTGCAGCCCCGCGCTGCAATGCCGACACGCCGCTGCGGGACTGGACCCGCGAGGCTCCGCGCCTCCGGGCGACGGGACTTCGGACGACCTGGGCTTCAACGAACACAGCTGCAAGCAGGAGGCCACAGGCGGCACTCGCACCCGCTCCACGCCGGTGCCGGGGCTCGGGCCGAGCGCGCCCCGCCAGGTCCGCACCCGAATGCGCCGGCCGCACGGCAGAGGTCGCCCCGCCACCCGGAAACGCTTGGGCCTGTCCCCACCGCCTCCTACGAACTGGAGGTGACAAGTGAGTGTCTTCGCCTTGCGCATGGGTCCAGAATGTGGACTATCTCCCAACACAGAGAGAAACACACAACATTCGTCCACTCCACGCCCGGAGAATGGCACGCACCAGCACACGCGCCACCCGGCTCCCCCCTACCTGCAGCGGGCGCCTTAGGCGGCGCAGGCGCAAAACTATGGCTCCGCCCCAAACTGCGGCTCCGCCCACAGCCCGACCCCGCCGTCGGCCACGCCTCCCGGCCCAGTCACCGCGCCGGTCCGCTGGGTGCACTTTGGTCCTGTTCGTGCGCGGTCATCATAAGTGTACGGAATAGGTGCTGTAAATACTTCATTTTACAGAGGAAGGAAAAAAAGTTTACCCTGCCCACAGTAACACAACTAGTAAGGGAAAACTCAGATTTCAACCCAGAATATAACACAAGCCTGTGCTGAATCGTCTTTCTATCATCCAAACCCAAAAGGGTGAGTCTCAGAAGATCAGCCACATCAGCGTGGAAGGAAAACGTGGCAGAAAGGCCGGCGCTGCTTGTTAGCTGGATCCGTAAACAATCCCTTTTCACTTTAAAATTCTAGGGCTGGGAGACGCCCGCAGCCTTGTACCCTGAGTGGTCAGAAGCCACAAGGAGAGCCCAGCGCGGACCCCGGCGGACCCCAGCGCAAGCCCTGGCGCCCCCGGCAGTGGCTCTGGAGGAGGAGAATTCAAAAGGAAATCAGATCCGTTCAGCAGCTGACCATCTAATTGTCTTTTGATGCTAATGTTTCTAGAAGAACCTTGGATGCCCAGGGACTTTCACACCCTGCTGCTCATAATCTTCAGCCTCTTCTGATCACTTTAGACCTGGGATTGCCAGGTAACTGCCAGCCTCTGTGAATCAATAATCCTGCCAGACTGGGTCTGAGGACCGAGGACCTGGATGCTCTGGAGCATGTATATGCAGGCTTACGTGTATCCATCTGATACCACTCTTGAGTAGGGCTCCATTCTGGTGTCAAAGGTTGACAACGTGAGGACTGACTTTCTCATTAAAACCCATTGCTAGCCATGGCAAGGCTGTGCTGTTAATAGGTGAACAAGAACAGCCAAAGCAGTCATAATAAAAGAATTCATGTCAAAGTATGTGATCCTGCAAGTCACATGATCAAAAGTCTGAACTTTTCTTCTGCAAGCACCCCTCTGATGTCTCAGGTCCTGGCTTTATGGTACTGCTCATCGAAGCCAAGTTTGTGACGCACTTTGGAAGGCTCACGGGATATGTTCACTCAATCTCATCTGAACTTCCATAGCCATAAAATGTTCCTGACATGTCTCCCATTACTTCTGTTATTCGCTGCCATAGACTGTCTCATTGCTTGGATTGGGATGCATAATTGTAAGCTGTGGAGAAACACAAAGTGTACATGAGGGTCCAAAGTCTCAGTACTGTTTAAAATATAAGCCTGTGAACATGGAAAATGCCAAATAATAATAATAATAATCTAGGGCTGTTGATTGTACTGCCCTCCAAGAAGAGGAGGAAAATGACAAAACGACTCTGAGAAACAAAAGAGAGAAATAGAAAAAACAGATATATGAAGGAATATAGATATAAAGGTCCTTTCTACAGCCGCCGCCAAGGTGCTCGATTCTTCCGAGGAAGCTAAGGCCGCGTTGAGGTGAGACCCTCACTTCTTCCGGCGACTAGCACCGCGCTCCCGCAGCCTGCCTCATGGCCTCTGTCTCTGAGCTTGCCTGCATCTACTCCGCCCTATCCTGCTCAACGATGAGGTGACCCTGACGGAGGATAAGATCAATGCCCTCATTAAAGTGGCTAGTGTCAATGTCGAACCTTTTTGGCCCGGCTTGTTTGCAAAGGCCCTGGCCAATGTCAACATCGGGAGCTTCATCCGCAATGTAGGGGCTCGAGGCCCCGCCCCCGCAGCAGACGCTGCGCCTGCAGGTGGTCCTGCGCCCTCCACCGCTGCTGCGCCAGCTGAGAAGAAAGTGGAACAAAGAAAGAAGAATTGGGGGCTGGAGAGATAGCTCAGTGGTCTAAAGCACCTACTTGGAACAAGATTGGCAAAGCACAGGAACCCCCCAGCACCACATGCCAGCCAGCCCCACCCCCCAGGTGGGCTGAGCTGGCCACACACACACACACACACACACACACAATAAATAAATGTAAATAAATTTTATTGTTTATAAATTTCATTGTTTTGAAAAAAAACAATAAAACTCACAAACAGTGAAAAATTTAAAAAAAAAAGAAAAAAAAAGAAAGAAGAATCGGAGGAATTTGAGGACGCCAAGGGCTTTGGCCTTTTCGACTAAACCTCATTTTGTAACATGTTCAATAAAAACTGAACAGCTAAAAAAAAAAAAAAAAAAAGTACAAAGGTCAGCTGAGATACAAGACAAAGCCTAAAAATGCCCAGAATAGTCAGATCTGCCTTCCCCGGAGTCTGATCTTGCAGTGATGGTGCACCTTTTAGAGACTGAGGGCCCAAACTCGACCCAAGCCCATTTATTTATCACAAGTGCCAACACTGCAATAGAACCCGAATATTGGGGGTTTTGTATAGAAAAAAAACTGTTCTCTGATGCTTGGTTTCTGGGGCGACTGGCTCACAAGTCAGCAGAGAAGTCTGGGGGTGCCCACTGCCGCACGGGTGCCCTAGGTTCTCCATGAATGAAATGGAAGGCAAGCTATATCACAAAGAACTGATGCTGAAGTCTTGGGGGTCTTAGAGAAGGGGTGATAGTT